CAGGATCTTAGGGCAGACTTGTATCCAACGCCCTTTCTCTTGGCAGCAAATGCAGGTCGGTTCTCCTAGAACGTCCTCGGAAGCATGGTTGGTTGACTTTCCCAACAAATACGCTCCATTGCTTTTCCAAATCATTTCTGATTCAGCAGCACTGAGCATGTAAGTTAGGTCAATGAGGTTTTTTGTTATGATCCATCATATAATACTTTCTTTTGAACTCATTATATGATTCGGGAAATGACTGCAGAACCCAGTTCATAGCCAACTTATTCGGGAATGACGCACCCAACATTATCAACCTATTGATGTGTGATTTCATTCCTAGAACGTGGGCACACACGGGTTTACCATCTTCATGTTTCATTTCCAATAGGGCTTTAGTGACATTGAACCTTTCAATTCTTCGATCTTGTGGGTTAGGGAGAATAATGGGAGGAGGTGAAGGAAGTGAAGCATGATTTCTTGTTCCTCGATCGAATCGTGGAATATCATCTTCATGTGGAATGCTTGTTCTACGGGATTCGGGAAGACCATAGTTGTTGTACTTTGACATCTCCAAAACGGGAGAAAACAAATTCAAGTTAGCTGATCGATTGAGTCCTTAATAAATCACCCAAATGAGATATTAAGGCTAGGACCCAACACAATATTCCACAACTCGGGAGAGGGATGCCATAACCCTAATTGCAGAACATTTGAAGGTAAGTAAATGACGATTCACTAATTTTCCACCATGAAAAACGAAAAACAGATTAAGTCTTAAATGTATTGAAAACTCCTAGATCCTTTGAGATTCATTGAACCTTTTCAATGGCATGTTTAAATCTCGATATGCCCCTCTAGTTTGTGACTGGGATGCCGAGGATCACAAAGCGGGTGTGAATAACCATGCAAATCTACATAGTACCCTCACATGTTACAGTCACATATTCAATGTGTCGGTAAACCACACACGCTCCACCGAACTATGACAAACATTGAGTCACCCTTTGCTACCTTTGCTTAGAACCATTTAGTGTGCCGGTTAACCACACACGCTCCACTAACGTCTTCGCAAGGGTACAAAGTATAATTTCATGGAATTGCATCAATTCACTTTTGCCTAAAGTAACTAAGATTAGGAATTTTGAAAAAGCATTTAGTTACTTTTGTACTTTATTATACTTATAATGGAAGGTTTCTGTCCTATCCTACTCGTTCGGTTAACAACTCTCCACTAGTCAAGAGTGCGGTGGGTAAGAGTGGATACCCATTCAATCGCCATTTTATAGGCAATTTCCTTAAACACCCCTTATGGACCAGCTTCGTGAATGAGGCCTACTAACGGTAAGACCGACTTTTAATCATACATATATATAATGTTAGACTTTTAATGTTATATATAGTATAGGGTGTATTTTACATTTTTAAAATACTAGGTGGTCTAATTTAATAATTATACTTTTAATTACATTGTACACCAAAACTTTATGGTTTACTAAATCTCTTTTAATTATACACTTTAATTAATTAATAAAACCATAAGGGTGTGATTTGAACTTTTCAAAACAATACTAGGGTTTAAGAATTTAACATTCCTAAATTAAACTTTTAATCAACTTTTAAATTCGAAAACTTGAGGGCAAGTTTTGAAACATTTCAAAACATTAGGGTTTCAACTATTTAAATTTCAAAACAAAACTTTTGAGTTCAAATTTAAACTATAAAACCTAAAGGGGAAAAATTGAAACTTTTCATAACACAAGGATCAAATAACAAATAATATAAATTAAATAATTTATTTTATCATTATCTATATTTGACCTAATTTCAATTTCTTGCAAAGTAAGTTACCCAATTAATACAAATAATCAAACTTTATCATATAAGGAAGTTATTATCTAATTAATTTGTAATTATTTTTTGTTTAATCAAGGATATACTCATAAATATGTATAAAATCGGATTTTAATGATCTAAAACAGATAAGGTAAGTATCCATGAGTAAAACAGCAAGAAATCCCAAAAATAGCTCCATCTGATGCTCGAACTCGCCGAGTACCACACTGTACTCACCGAGTTGAGGCCTACTCGCCGAGTACACTGTGGTACTCGCCGAGTTCATCAGGCAGGGAGCTCAAAGCTCGATTTTGCAACTTGAACAAACATACAAGGCATCAATACAATAGAAACCAATCAAAGCTCTGATACAACTGATGGGTTTTAGCCATAAAAACATCATATGTGCTCATGCAAACCCTAATGCTTGGATCTAGGTTTCTCTATTGTACAAGCAATTCATCTAAGACTTCAAACCCTAGATCTAATATATGATAATCAATATAACATATGAACTAGGTTTTAGATCATACCTTGATTGTTATGTAGCAATAACAATCTTAAATCCTTCTTGTATTGACTTTAGAAAGCTTAGAGTCACAAATGTCACTCCTCTAATGGTTCACAAACACCAAGAGCAAGATGATGAAGAGGAGAAGAGAAGGAGGCTGCCTAAAACGTGTGGAAACCCTAGAGAACAAGTTCACCACGTTTTTGGGGCTTAAGGGTTCTTTAAATAGTGAGACTATTAGGGTTATCTAACAAGGAAACCCTAATTTGGATGCTTAAGCCCTAAGCAACCCATGAACCCCTTTTTAATACGCCTTGGACGATTTCTAATGGGTTTCCCCATAGAGTTCGTCCAACCTTATATTATAAGGTAATCCATAGCCCAATTGCAATTATCTTATAATTACAATCCCAGTCCCTTAAGTTTAATTAATCTCTTTTAGCCACAAACTTAATTCTTATTAATTCTTGACTAATATTAATTAAACAATATGATTTCTCCTTTAATGTATTATTCTCATAATATATTAATAAATCATATTTAATCCTTTCTCTCCATAATTCATCCTATCAAGTTGCTTTGGTGAAGGCAACCCAAAAGGACCATGCACCATTGGGTCAAGTACATACTAAAATAGTTATGGACTTAGACACTAATCCAACATATATATATATATATATATATATATATATATATATATATATATATATATATATATATATATATATGATTAGGTTCTATGGAAAACAAAAACCTTAAAAAAAACCCTAAAAATCATTAAAATGCATAAAGAAAATAGCTAGAGATCACAAAAAAAAAAATTTGAATTTTTTTATCAAAAAATCGCAACTTTTAGGTCAAAATTGCTGAAAAAAAAAATTTGAATTTTTTTTTACAAAAAAAAAATTGAGTTTTTATTTTTTATTTTAGCGAAATTGTAAAAAATGTTGCAATTTTTTGATAAAAAAAAAAATCAAAAAAAAGTTTTGTGATGTCTTGGTATTTTTTTATGCATTTTTATAATTTTTAGGGTTTTTTTGTTTTCAAAATAATCCTTCCCTATATATATATATATATATATATATATATATATATATATATATATATATATATATATTAGTTGTGAGACCCATATATTATATGGGTTAATTAACACAAAATGTTAATATAAACGATTAAATGAATATTTTATTTGAATTTGAAATTTAAAATAACTGAAAATTATGAGAAAAAAACATGCAAAAAATAAATAAATTAAAACTATGTGTTTAGTTATCAAATTTATGTACCACACGGGTAAATTATAATAAAATGTTAAACACAAAGGTTTAAACTGTAAATTTATTTGAAATTAAAATTAAAATTTGAAATTTGAAATTTGAAATTAATTGTCATTATGGTAGGTTTAAGTTATGGAAACTAAATTAATGATATATTGGAAATGAAAATTGAAGTAAATTACAAGTGGAAAATAAATACATTTCAAAATTGTGACAAAATGACATGTGGCCAATTAAATGGGAGAATGACAAGTGGCAAAATCATTCTTATTTATTAGGGTATATATAATATATAATATATATATATATATATATATATATATATATATATATATATATATATATATATATATATATATATATATATATATATATAACATATTTAACATTTAAATCTTTCTAACAATAGCAAAAACATGTTATTGCAAATAATTTTAGAAACGTTTCATGCAACAACCACAAAATTCACACGAAAACCCACTTCGTATTCTTTAGATCTTAACCGGATATTATCAAGCGACTTGCACCCTACATTTTATCGATAAGTTTCTCTAAGTTCATATTCCTAGAAAAACGTCATGGGTGTTCATTTTGGCTAATTGGCTCAACAATCCAAATGTCTCTTACCAACTAGTAACTTATGTTTGTTGCAATGTTCCTAACCATTTTAGTAAGAGTATTATATCTGTTTTTTCTCATCTCAGTATTTTTTTATTAATAAGGTTTCACCCTTAAAAATAATACTCAAAAGGTAAAACAATTAAACCTTTAAAATACAAGTATTATGGTTCTAAAAATAATAATAATACCTACCGAGTTATTGAATCAGTAAGGACCATTTTTCTGATACTCATTTCCAATCTTGCAAAACATCAAATTTAAAAGAAAATGAAAAGGCCCGGTTATTAACAGTTTGATGAACCATTTATATAACATCAGTTTCCAATTCCAAAAGAAACAAGCGTTTGGATTAATAGGGACTGAAATTATTGAAATTTGATAGCTTTAAAAAGATCAGCAAGTCACAGGAAATCTAGGGGCTGCTTCTGTATCTTGGCCTTTTATAATATAGTTGCAGTTTCCAATAATAATAATAATAATAATAATAATAATAATAATAATAATGATAATGATGTTGCCTAAACCAATAATGCTTAAAGAAACCCCAATATGAATTATGTTGATGTACATCAATAACACCCCCTCCTCCCCCCCAAGTATGTATGATGTTGTACATCTATAAAAAGCACCTTCATACTTTATGATTTATAATTACTCATAAACAATAACATGTGGCTGGATATTTTACTACGAACAAAAATTAAATTCAGATCTGACATCATGTATATTAAATTACAATAAGTCAATAACATGTTTTTATGTTAATATAGGTAGCACAAGCAAAATGGAACTGCCACCAAGCGATGCAACATATTGTTGCATTGCAGAACATCCTGATTATTGGAAGAATAAGTGTTGTAAACTTAAAAGCCTTAGACGTGGGCAAGGAGCAGTTTGCAAAAGATATAAATTTACATCACTTCAAGATTGTGAAGAAAAATGCTCCACAAAGAAATGTCCGTGGCCATTTCCATCGCCACCAAGTGTGCGCTACAGAGCAAATTAATACAACGAAGTGTAAGTGATGAGATGCCATCAATAAATACAATAAATGAAATAAAGTATTTGTTGTTTATCTCTTGATGTCAACTTTTTTTTTTTTAAACAACATTTTATACTTTAAGGTATATATACAGCTCAAAGTAGAATGTATAACTAAACTTAATATGTGAAACCATGATCAGATTGTTTGTTTCAAGATCTAACTTTCTTTTTCCTATTAGACATACATATTGGGCAAGTTCTTGAGATGTCCGTAGAGAAAATGTATATGCATAAGCCTAAAAGGCTTAGCGAACTGTTTGTTTTTCATTTGAGGGTGTTTGATATTGTTTTTAGATTGACTTTTTAACTTTTAATTTTTTTAAAAAGTAAAAAAAAACCAAAAGATGTTTGGATAATTGAAAAGTTCTTTTGAAATGATTTTTTACAAAGATTAAAAAAAAAGGTTTCAAAAAGTCACAAAAACATGACTTTTTGTGGCTTTACATATAAAAGTTAATCAAAAGTCATTTTGCTTAATCTAAACATTTTTTAAATAGCATCTTTTGCAAAAATTCCTTCCACTAAAAGTTTTTCTACAAAAAAAACTTTTGATGCTCAAAAGCAATCCCAAACACCCACTTAGTCATTTTATATGGATCTCAAATGATACTGCATTAAAATGGAAACTTAAAGGTGACATTAGATCAAATTAAAAAAAAAAAAAAAAATTGGCTGAACTTGCAAACTTTGGCAAAGCATGATAACCAAATTAATTATTTACTTACATAAATAATTTTGTTTGTTGTGCTATTTTGTATGTTTAAGTGTATTTGCGAAAAGAATGATTAGAAATAACCAAGAAATTAAAGACTAAACAATAATTGTTTCTTTCACTACGACGAGCATGATAAGACGACAAAAAAAAATGGCTAGTAATTTAGGTTGTTCAAAATTGGATAACACAAAATTTTAGATAGTGAATATTGATATGTGAAGTTTTCGATATATGAATTTTCGGATACAAATTCAGATGATATGTGAAGTTTTTGATATATCAATTTTCAGATCCAAATTCAAATATTAAATTGGATATCTGAAAATATAACTACATCTTAAAAATATATATATACTACAAATAACATTGGATTAAAAAAAACATTAATCAACTTTATTATAACAATAAAACAAATATTATTTTGTTACTAAACTAATTTCCATTTTTCATTTTTACTAATTAAAGAATGAATTTAAAAACACCAAATTAGCAAATTAGGTGGGTAATCGGAACTTAAACATGGTTAATCAACCAGAAAGTATCACGAATTAACTGTTACATGATAGGATATCAATCTTTTGTACCAAATTCAAGTTGTACATTTCATTCTTAAACCATCCAAAATGTAATAAAGAACATAGATTTCAACAACTATAACACTAACCCACTTTGTACACCTCCTGCATTCAACTTGTTCAAACTAGTTTCAATTTCTGCACGCACTTCACAGGCACAAAAAAAGAAAGAAAAAATAATAAAAATTAAACTGTTTTATCAAAGGAAACAATAGATGTGAGAACACTAACCCACTTTTTTGTACACCTCCTGCATTCAACTTGTTCAAACTAGGGCACACACTCCACAGACACAAATAATAATAATAATAATAATAATAATAATTAACTTTTTTTTTTTATCAAAACAAACAATAGATGCGAGTATAAAGGCATTCATGTCTTTTGCACAGATAAAAAGTCAAATCCCTGTCCCATCTCTTTCTATGGGGGACAAAAGGTTTAAAGCTTTGTCCCATTAACATCAGTCTAGGTCTAACACACTTCATTATTCATAGTCACATGTATGCTATCACTTAATAACAGAATATTGTAACACCCGGAATCTAGAAGGTTAAATCGTTGAAATTAAGCCAAATTTGATTTGAACTCGGCAAGTTGGAGGAACCGACTTGACATGTTGAAGATGGAAGAATCGTGGGGATTTAATCGGTCAACTCGACGATTCGAGGTTCCTCAACTCTGCGAGTTGGGCGCTGTTTGAGAAACCCTAATTTTAGGGTTCACGCCATATAATGTCATTATGTCCCATGCCCCAGCCTCTTTAGCTCAGAAACCCTATAACCTAACCTTTATCATCCTTGTGTGTTCTTAACCTTGTGAAGATCGTTTTTGGTAGCTTGGAATCTTGGAAAGAAGAAGAGGAAGTTGTTGAAGGCGAGTTAGTAAAGCTTGAGCTTGAAGATCCGAAACATCATCATCATTTAGTACTCATTTGAGGTATAAAGTTCATAACTTGCCTTATACTTGCTTAGATCTCCTTATTTTAGGTTTAGTTGTGTTTTGGCCTCTTTTTGGGATAATGATGGAGTAAAGTCATTTTAGGGGTTGTTCTTTCAGATCTAAGTTTACTTTGGTACCCTTGAGCTTAAAGGTGCAAACTTTATGAGGATTTTGGTGTCATGCATACATTAAGTCAATTATTAAGTCCAATCCAAGCTTAAGAGCTTTATTAAGTCGTGCATGAACGTAAAGTTGGCAACTTTACGTGGTTTTCCAGCTCAAGGAAGTCATATCCATGTTTTGGAGTCTTGTCCTCATGGATTGAGTGCTTAATGTGTTAAGAGGTGGGTTTCTGGCGAACTCAACGAGTTTGTTGGATAAACTCGGCGAGTTAGCTTGGTTTTCCCCGACATTTTTCAGATTGATAGAGGAACTCAGCGAGTTGGTGAGTCAACTCGGCAAGTTGGTGGGTCAACTCAGCGAGTTGACTTGGTTTTCCCAATATGTGCAGATTGATGGAGAAACTCGATGAATTGAAGGACAATTCAACGAGTTGGGTCAACTTGAACTGTTAACTTTGACTTTTGACTTATGCCTTTGACCAAGTTTGTCCCAAGGGGTATTTGAGGTAATCTGAATTATATTTAAGGAAAATATGGGCTTAGGATAAGACCCATATGGGATTGGTCTCAATTTGGAAAATTTTGTCATTAATGGGCATTTATGGATCTAGTAGTTTCTGGTATTTTTGGGCTTGAGTGTTTGTGATCTTTTTGGGCCATCGGGTTATAAGTGTTTGGACTAGAAAGATTGGTTGGGTCTTAAAGATAGGCTATGTAAGGAGTTTGGACCCAATTTGGAAATTAGGCCATTGGTTGATTATTGGGCCTTTGGACCTTTCATATTGTAGTTTAGGTCATAGATTTGGACAAGGCTAGGTTGGGAGTAAAATGGTCCTTTTACCCCAATTATGGAATTGTGGTTATGGATTGGAGCCCAATTGCTAATTGGGTGTATTGTTGGTATTGATAGTTCTAGAAGTTGTCAGGGCAGCAGCTAAGGATTCTTTCAGTGAGCTTCTGCAGTGCGAGGTGAGTCTTCTCACTCAAGGTTGTCAAGATCAGGATCCTACATAAGATCGTTTTTGGATTTGTAAGATCGGGATCGGGATACTAAGATCCCACAAAATAAAACATAATTTTCATTTATAATTTTTAAACATGAAAAATATTTCAAACATTTAATTTTTCGTTCAAAAGTTATAAAAAATTCAAAATATTAGTCATAAGTCACAACACAAAATGATTAATGGTAAATTGGTAAAGGGTAAAAGCTATTAGGTGGTAAAAATAATTTTCATTTGCAAAAAAAAATAAATAAATAAATAAATAAATAAATAATCAAGGGAAGGTAGGATCGGATCTCGATCCTACGATCCTACCCCAAATACGATCCGTTTACGATCTGGATCATTTTTCATACCTAGAATCGTACGATCCTACGATCAGGATCGCGATTTTGACAACCATGTTCTCACTATATCGATGGGTCGAATGCACCAATGTCAGCCCGTTATATGTTATGGTATGATAGTTGTTTATATGATATGTGGTATGATAGTTGTCTCTATGATGCTTGCATGGAAGACCCGAGGGGAGCTCGTGGCAGTTGGATATCAGACCATGTGGCGGAAGCCCATGGCGTTCCAAGTAAAGACCATGATAAGATCCCATGGCATACTAGTTAAAGACCATGGGGGAGCCTATGGAAACTATATGTATGTTGCATGATTATTTGTATTGGTATGTTGTGTGGTATTTTGGGGAACTCACTAAGCTTTGTGTTTACTATTTTCAGTTTATGTTTCAGGTACTCTGGTTTTCATATGGAAGGGCTCGGGATGATTGCAGAATACACACCACATGTTTCCATTTTCTATGAAATACTCTGATTATCAATGCTATGTTAAAAATTAAATTACCCTGGTTTGTATAGGAAAGACGTGTACTAACGATTTATTAATCTAAAAATAAAAAAATTTACGTCATGATTTTTGGGGCATTACACATAGTTTGGTACTTGTCCCCACTTTTGTTGGGTGGATGGCTTCAACCTTTCGATGGCTTCCAGACAAATCACAGATTAAGATTAGGTTCAAAGTCCTCTAAAAAACAATGTGATCTTTGATTGACAACTTTCTCCGCCCTATCGTGATTGTATCTGGTAAAAGTGAAAATACCCTCGTCAGGTTAGTATTGCATTCCCACTATATAAATACACCAATATACATATTTACCAAAAGGATCTTATACTATGAGTATACATAATAAACCTACACTATACATTAAACGACATGTGCTAACACTCCCCCCGCAGCTTGAACGGGAGGATCACGAATATTTAACTGTTACGAAAATCAATAAATAACTATGTAGGTAGTCGTTTGGTGAAGATGTCTACAAACTGGTGAGCAGAGGGAACATGCAGAACGCAAACCTGACCAATGGAAACATGCTCTCTAACAAAATGTAAATCTATTTCCACATGTTTGGTTCTTTGGTGTTGAACTGGGTTGGAAGCTAAATATATAGCACTCACATTGTCACAAAACACAACAGTAGTACGATTTAGAGGACATGAGAGTTTAAGAAATAGATTATGAAGCCATGCAGCTTCATCAACAGTATAGGTACCCCCCGATACTTTGCTTCCGCACTAGATCGAGAGACA